GTGCAAATTACTGACCTCTGTCATCATTTTAAGTGGGGGAACTTGCACAATCGGTGGCTGACTAAATACTTTTTTGCCCCACTGTAAACTGAGATTCTTGCATAGACGTATATGACATGTCACCCGCTGCTTTAACATCCTAGACAGTATAAAACATGGACGGAGCTTCTGGGTGGAAAAGTAAAGGTAATGTGGCTTAATTCTGTCTCTTGGTCACCAGGTAGTCGGGATGGCAAACGCATTTCCAGTCCTACAGAATGCTATGAAAAATGTCTTGCTGTCGTGACCTATGTACACAATTTCCTGCTATATTAATGGGCTCGGTCATTTATTTATCCATTTATATGCTGAATAATAAATCTTGATCATGCAGTATTTCAAAATGCATTCATTATCCAGGGCATCTTCATTGCCTAATGACATGTGATTGATAAGCAAGCAGATTCACAGTTAGACCCGCCCCTGCTCATCACCTCTGGGTTTTTGTTTTTGTTTTTTTTGTTTTGTTTTTTTCCTTAAACCAAGATGGCGATCATGAATACACCTTCTGAAGGCTTCAAAACAGAAATTGAGAAACCAGTGGATGATGTCACAGTAGCTACAGCTCTCTTTTATAGTGTTCATGCAACCTACATTTTTGTGTTATTATTTTAGTGTTTTTGTGTTAACACCTGCAGTGAGTTCACTTACTTAAAACCTCCAGTGCTCAGCAAAACCTGGCTCTAAATTATTGTTGTTACTGTTAAGTGATCTGTATCGTTTCACACAGGAGGCCTTTTTCTCCCTTTGTAATGCCTGTGCCTTGATTTCTGTCTTCTGTTTATTCCTCTTTGATTTGTTGCGTTTCCTTCTTTTTGCCGCCTGTCCCGTTTGGTTCTTTTGCCATCAGAATTATTGTCTGAAGGCAAAGAGAGAAGCCAAACGAAATTACTTTACCAAGTGGACCATACCTGCCTTACCGTATTGGTCCATTTAATTGACCTTTGTTGTTATTATTATTTATTTTATTTTCAGTTGTTACAGACGGGACAGACATGACCGGGGAGAGGGAGGGAAACAAAGACGGAGGGGGAAGAGGAATACTGATGAAGGGCAAAGAAAAGGGGGGGGGGGGCAAAAAAAATATTTTTATATATATCACCTGGATCACCTGTTGAGAGAGGGGGGAAAACAAGCAAACAAAAACAGCAATATAATAAACACAACACCATCGTGATACTCTGTGTGTGTGTATATAGCAGTAAATATTAAATATTATTATGCAGCACGTAAGATTTACAGTGTGCGTTGAGGTAGGAGCCAAAATGGGTGCAGTTTGTGTCTGTGAGCACTCGTGTGTACACCTGTGAGCATGAGCACGCTTGTATTTAAAATTTTGTTGCATTTCCTTTGTTCTTTCCCCTCAATTTGTGTTTCCAGTTTTAAATGGTCAAGTAAAGGAACCTTTCTGTGGATCTAGCAGCAGCAGGTTTTATAACCTGTCAAACCACATGATAAAGGCTGTAGGCCTGTGATGCATTGTTGTCTTCAAACTGCATGTTTTTCTGTTTTTGTAATTGGTACCCTGTCTTTTGTCTCAGCATCACATCAACTCGCCTTAAGCAGGTCCACCTGGGTTTGACTCAGTGTTTGAAAATCTGTTGGCATCACTTCCTGTGCACAGCATCTTAACAGGTTTTGAGTCGTAATTATAGGGAGAGCTTTTATGGCTTGTAAATATGCTGACTAGTAAAAAAACTCATTAATGTGAGTTATCTGTATTTGCCATCTCTTTTGGGTTTTCCTAATCACACAGAGAACCCACCTCTCACAAAGACAAAGGTTGGCCTTGACAGCAGGTTTTGTGATGGTCTCTTTCTGTCAGCTCACAAAGGAGCCTCTTTAGTTGTACTCATTACATCACCGTACTATCCTATTATAGCCTGTTTTCCTCTACAAAACAATCAGTTCAGTGTTATAACTCAGATCCGATGGCCATGGAGGCAGTGAAGTAGCACACAGTTGCTTGTTCTCATGAGCAATTCAGATTTGAATTAAAAAATAAAAAGATGAAATCTCCTGTATTTTATCCTAAAGCACAGTGAATGGTACAGACTTGGGCCCAAGGTCAGGTTCCTGTTCAGCCTCCAGTGGTGCGGATGGTCAGGTGCCTTCAAGCTCCTGCAGCCCTGCTCTTGGTCATGTCGTCAACGGAGACTCCACAACCAACTCCACCCCTGTCCACCAACCCTCAGACAGTGATAATGAGAGTAGGATGGGTGAGTTTGCACATGCTGTAATGTCTACTTTACAGTACACATTACAAAACTCATTTATCGTTGTTTTTTGTTTTGTTTTTAGTTTTGTTTTTTTTATTTTAGACAAAAAAATAACTTGGATTTGGATAAGACTGAATATTATTAGAGCACCCTGGTAACATTTATATGTTATAGTGCCTTGGATGGTTTCAAACCACCTCAGGTTTATGCTCTCCATGGTCGATGTGAACCTAGTGAAGAGTAGAGAAGAGGAGTAATTACATTAAGGGAAGCCTTTAATCTCTGCTGCTCTCAGCACCTCTATCCAATCTCCTTGGAAAGAAAAGCGAAGTGAAAGCAGAGTGCACTTAAACTTGGAGGACAGGCCACATTGAGCTGAGGTTCATTACAGAATATAAATGTTTTTAATGGCATTGCATATAAAGAACACACACACAGTTAGAGCAAATGGAAACTGGCAGTGTGGGGTTATCAGAATACCAAACTGGTACCTGGTAAGAGTTCCATAGGCTAACTTTGGTGCATGAAAAGTAGCTCAAGTAGACAGTTTTCACCTTCTAAAAATTTGGGTTCAATTAATAATCTTATCATTCATTTTGTGCTCATAAATTCCAACGTAATAGATGTATTTACCTTCAGAGATCCTTGCCTATCCATGTTCTGTGGACATATGCAGACTTAGACTAAAAGTCAGTTGTTGCAGACAACAGCTTAAAAGACTGATTTATTTATTTATTTATTGAAGCATTGAGGCATTACTGACATCAATGGATTGAGTTGTACAAGTAAACGGCACTCCGGTCTTATTGTGACTTGCCTGCAGTCAATGGGGAGTCCTGTGATGCTGCTGAAGGACAGTCATCTGCGACAAGAAGTGATGTGCTGCCCTCTGGAAGTGACCACGAGGACTGCATTCAGGATGCTGCCCTGCCAGACTCTGACACAGCACCAAATAGCACATCTCAACCCCCGCCTGCTTCCACATCATCGTCAACCTCTTCTGTTGCTGCTAATTCTGCCACTGCCGTTGCTGCCTCCTCTTCTTCCTCCACATTCACCTCTCCAAACCAGGGGGTCACCACGTCCTCGTCGTCCTCCTCCCCGGCGCCTGCTGAAACAAATGCTTCAGGAAGTGGAGGTGGTAGTAATAGTAGCAGTGCAACAGTAACTACAGATGGGGCCAAGCCCAGGCAGCAGGTCCCCAATACTGGAGCCTCAGATCCTCTTCCACCAGGGTAAAAAAAACAACACAAAAACAACCCCTGCTGCTCATTTACTGATCAGTATTACTGTATTTATTTTTGATTTATTTCTGTTTTCAAATTACCTAAACACCAGTGCACACACAAATATGACAACAGTAGAGTGACGTTGACCAGAATTTTTCATCCTTTGTTTGTTGTTTAATTTTGCATCTTTTAGGTGGGAGCAGAGAAAAGACCCACACGGGAGAACGTACTATGTAGACCACAACA